GAGCTCCCCTTCCAGATGGCACATTCTGCGCAGGCTATACACATAAGGACAAAGGCCACACTATACATGGCTTGTCAAGCCCCTTTTGCGCCCTTTCAGGTAACCACTAACAAGCTAGAAAAGGTCCTCATACTTGACTAAATCTAGAGCCATATAGCACTTATAGTTGTACTGTAAGTCCTAGATTTTGCTGACAAATAAGTCCTTAAGATTCCATGTTGCTAAAAAGCACAATTTAAATATCATTGCATATGCCATTAGCCAATATTATGGAGCTTCTTCATTAAAGTAGAGCAACTAGCAAAACTACCCATATGCATGAACCATAGGTATCAAGGATCAAGATAACAACATCTAGGCAAGTCCTTAGTGGTAGATCAAATTGGACACATGCAAATATGAATTTGGTGACATTAAGGTTATTAGGTACCAAGGAGCCTCATATTATACAAGTCTTAACACTTGCTCAAACTTCCTCATACTTTGCTTCTGGTCATCACCTTCTGATCTTCAGCGCTCACAAGTGGTTCTCGTTCTACTCATAGCAAGCACCATGCACAAAGAAAATACAAAAAGACAAAAGAAAGACAACTAAGAACATTACACCAATCATAGCAAAAGCTTTAAAACAACGTACTAAAAGAGAGCTATTGCTATGAGATCATAAGAAACACCGAAAACGAAACTATCAGATAAAAAGAAATGACTACCGAGAGTTTTATATTTTAAAAGAAACAACTATGAGCTTGATTTATTTTAATTAAGAAAAACCATGTGGATCCTACTAATTCAGATTAGTCAAATTATATTTTAATTTTCAAAACAAGTTAGAACTAGAAATATTTATTTATGAACATGTCTCATATTATTTAATAATCATGTTAAACTTTAACCTTGCATAAAAATACATGTGAGAACACCTAAACAAGTTTATCCTATGCAACAGGTTTGAACTTAATCATATTAATGTTTATGTATAAAATATCATAGTATAAAACCTATATTAGTTTTAATTATAAAACTAGTTGCACATATATTAATTAATATCTAACTACATACAGGAAACATGCGACATGCAAAACATTAACAATACTACATAGAGCACATCGATATGAAGCTAACATAACTTGAACGAACCGAATCGGAGTTAAAACGAAGAAGCGACGGAGATATTACGATCTAGTGGCACAACCATAAATACTTCATCTTCTACCTCCATCCATCTTCTTCCTGTGCGTGCTTGCAGACATGGCCATGGAGGTGCTGCACAGGAGCTCGCACGCAGGGGATGCACTCCGGCTGGGATGCGGGTCCTAGGCCGTGGGCCCACGGGGCGGGGGCTACCCACTGCCCACACGGCAAGGCCTGAGCGGTAGCCGCCACTGTGCGTCGAAGGGAGGGGGCGCACGCTGGGCGCGGGAGGGGCCCACCTGCGGTGGCCGCGGGGTTGCGAGGAGCCGGCGTGGGTGCGCCAGGCCGGGAGGGCCGCGACCTTGCTTCAATGTAGCCGGATAACGGATGGAGGAGCAGCAGCCATGGTGGAGTTTGTCGAAGATGAAAAAGAAGAGATGGGAAACAGTTAAAAAGTGATGGATTCGTGAAACGAAAAGCATGGACGATGAGAGGAACCTCAGAGTGGTGACGGTTTCGGCAGGGGATGCCAAAGATGGCCGCAAAACCTTGCCGAAGGATCGCCAGAAGTTCGCCAGAGCTTTAGGGTTTCAAACTTCGGCTTTAGATCTAGGACGATAGGAGTGGCGGCTCGAAATAAGAATTTAGATATGCAACCAGCGCGTCAAGGAGAAGACCTGCATATATATAGTTGCAGGGTTTGATGCAAAAAAACGAGTGATTTTTATAATTTCAGGAATTTTAGAAAATCATTTCTAGTTCAAAAACAATTGTAGAAAAAGCTGATATCATTTTAAACCCCCAAAAATATTTCCAAAATTCAAAAAATTGAAGGAAAACTTAGAGAGATAGATTGCGAGATAATGAATCCAACTAAAGTATTTGTAGCCCATAAAAAGGGATTTTATTTTATCCAAAAATTGGATTAAGCTCTAGGAAAAATGGGAAAAGGCTCCGAAAAAGTCCAAAAAATTCCCATGAAGGACTGGACGACGTCTAAACACGTTTTTAAAATTTAACAAACTCAAAATCACAAAATTCGAGCAACAAGCAAACATCACATCAAGCAAAAACCCATCAAATTAATTTAGAAAATTTGGAAACCCATATTTTTCTATATCTAAATTGGCAAAAACTTAAATTGACCTTGTCAAATTTTATACCAATATATAAACTATTTATTTTATTTAGTGTTTTGTATTCACAACCTAGAATTGAAAATTTTGGGGTGTGACAAACTGTCAGGAGCAACACCAATATGTTCCACCTTAAATTACTGACCACTTTCTTGTCCTTGTCAATTGTAGGGTCAAATTGACTAGCACACCTTTGGTCCTGGATCGACTGGTCCTCTGTTCGAAGTCATGGAGATCTCGGGACCTGCTCTGCATAGTTTCTCTCGACTTGCTACGTGTTGGCCGCGATCGCCACATTTGTGCGTAGACTTTATAATTAATGATTTCATCCTATATATAATCATAAAAGAGTGTGTAGTACAGTAATATTGAGGTGTTGTGTAAGTTGAAGATTTGAGGATTAACATTTATTCTAATTTTTGTGGTTTTTTTATGTTTGTTGTAAACGACATGGTGGACCAAGAAATACGTAGCATGATGGGCCCGGCAAGGTCGGCCTACAATTACATGTGGCACTAGTTTAGACAATTTTTTTCTAATTTTTTGAAGTTGCATAGAAATAATTCATAAATTTTCTATATGAAGTTGAATCAAGACGAACTTTATATTAAAATTGTAGCTATCCACAAAATCTATGACTATTTAGTTGAAAAGATTTTGATTATAATTGTAGCTATCCACGCAATTTATGACTATTCAGTTGAAAAGATTTTGATTTGAAACCATTTAGTGTCCCAAAATATTGTTTTAAGTTTACAAATTTCAAAATTTTAAGTTTTCAAACAACCTTGAATGTTCATGTGGTTCATACGAAATTTAGAGGCCGGCCTAATCTATTATTTTGTTGTTGAAAGTTTTTATTTGAAGTTGCTTGGAGTCTTGAATATTTATTTAAATTCATATATTTTGAGATTCAAGTTTTTGATATTTCTAAACAATCTCAGATCAAGACACATCCTATACCAAAGTTGTACCGCAGATTTAAAACTTTTATAGCTAAAGGCAGACATTTTAACACTTTTGTCTTTCTCAATGGTTTAATATTGAAGAGGTGTTCGTTATAGTTCAAAAATAGAGCATCACGTATGAGTGATTGGTTTAGTGTCGAAGTCGTGTTTGTTACGGTTCCAAAATAAAGCGTCATAGATGCGTAACGCGAGAGGCACATGTGATCTATGATGATATCATGTGGTGTTCAATGACAATATTTGCGACGATATCATAGTTCGTCGCAAATAGTCAGCGCCCAAGGCCCATCACCAATGATCCATGGTGAAACCAAAATTTTTATCATAACTATGCACTGTTTTGTGACATGATTTTGATTTGTTAGAAAAAATTCATCACAGATATGCGCATTTCTACTATGATAAGTGTGCTTCCTTTTCATGAACCACGGCTAGTATACCTTGAGTGAAAGTAGTTTGGTTTATTGTTAAATTGAGGAAACTTTTATGAATAAGTAGGTTTATGTGTAACATGGACACTAATTAAGTACCTCCACATTTCATTCTACATTTGCTATATTTAGGAATACCATTGCATGGATATATTCCTTTCAAAGATGAACATAACTATTCAACTCATTGTACTTCTACTATTGGTTTGTGAGCTCGTTGAACTCAAGGTGAAATGAAAGTGCAAATATATGAGGATAAAAATGGTTTTTGAATATTTAAGATACTAAGTTACCGAGGTCAACTCTAATTCTTGCTCTTTTGTGTCAACTATATTATGAGCACTTATAGCCTTTCATAGAAAGACCACTAGTGGTTTGTGACTGATCAACAAAGACTCATCTATGACGCAATCAAAAACATTTGTTACCAAATTAGTCAGTGAAATCTATCTTGCATGCATAAATAAATCATGGTCTAAAGAAAACATGCAATTAATATCTTCTCAAATCATTCATAACAACTTCTTAAGAAAATAGGAAAGACCAAGCCAACCACACACTAACCTAGTTGTATACTCCCAATTAACAAAATTACTTACACTAACATTCATTTGGTACATCTGTACCAAATAAAACTATTATGTACCATATCACAAGAAAATATATGCATATATTACAAGTCATGATCATTTATGTTGCAGTAGCTCATCAAGATATTTGAATAGATAAATATATATCACATGAGTGAGATGGAGCATTGCAACTCATTAGACTTCCCCATTGATGATGTAGTCAACTAGTAGTAGGTAAACCTGATGCTGGTATCATTCTGTCCTGTGTGCCTAGGAATAACATCAGTGGCGGTATGGCTATGCATGACCACACATGTCACCCCATCAATGGCAACATACTTGGGCGCACATGGGTCTACCTTGAAACCTCACCTCCACAACCAAACTAGACTGGACTAGTGTCTCTATCTTGTCTACTCTCAAGTTTGTGCTCTGCATAGGAAAACTGTTGGTGTTGGCATGTTGACAATGTGTATATGGAGCTTATTGCAAACCTCTAGCACTAAATATTAATGCATTTAAGAAAAATATTCACACAAGTAGAGATATACTATATATAAAGGGTGTATAATATTCTTTGACTTTGTTATCAAAATCTCAATTTTGCATTCATATCAAAGTCAATTGTCCAATTAATCAAAATTTGGACAAAAAGATTCACATGAGGCCTATAAATACCAGCCTTGGTGTTTACCAATCTCCACAACCCAACAACCCTAGTTCTTAGCTCAAACTACCAATTGATGCATAGTACTCAACCACATGGATCCCAATTTCATGGGAGAGTGGAGTGCCTCTGAGATCAAGATGGTGAAATCTCTCATTGCAAGGGACAACGCCAACAACAATGGTGCTAGTGATATGAACAAGAAGCATAATCAAATTGTGGATGAGCTCCAGGCAATATTCCCTTGTAAGGAAAAGCATCAGGTAACCAGCTTGTACATTGATGTCATGGTGGAGATGATGCAAACATTGTAGAGTGGCAACCAACAAGTGGAAGAAAGTAGCAGCCTGATGAATCAACCCTTTGGGTTGTTTGTGGGGGATCCATCCATGGGCAACATGGAAGCATTTGATGGTTATCCAAAAGTGGAAATGTTTGGCATGAGGAATGTGAAGGAGACTCCACGGAGGAAGCCCACTCCTTCGAAGGAGATCCAATACACTAGGAGGTTTTGGACCATAAATGAGCTTAGGTTAGTTGTTTGCTAGATCCTTAAAGCATCTCATACATATTTTTAATGCTTGTCACATGAAGTTTTACTACCCTTGTTAAGCATAGGTTATGAGGTATTACTATGATGAGGTGTTTATATAATCTTTTTTACCAATCGTGAATATATATGGAAATGGAATCTGAATTTTTGCCTAATTAGTTCACTTCAAACTCTACCTCATTGTAGGCAATTCCTCCGTGGTCTACATGTGTACGGTCACAGAAATTGGAAGAACATCTCTAGGCACTTTGTTACCACCAAGACCCCTATGTAGGTTTCCAACTATGCTCAAAAGTACTTCCTTAGGAAAGAAAATGGCACCAAGAAGTAGCGTTATAGCATCAATGACATTGGACTTTATGATTTTGAGCCCTTCTCACAAACAAATGCTTATTTCTAGAAGGGGCCCACCTTTGGTGGAGGTGTCTACAACACAAATCACTACAGCTTTGGTGGACATCCTACTTCCATGAACAATGCCCAGGCTTGGTCACCATTCCTATACCACACTGGCCATGGAAGTAGCAGCAGTAGCCAGATGGGCACCTTGGCTATTGGTGTAACACCCTAAAATTTGCTCTTTTCGAAAAAGATATAAATTGATTTAATTTTGTATTTTGTGCTCATGAAATATAGGAAAAAGAATATTTTTATTATATTAAAATTCATCATAAGGAGTAGCAACTTGGTTGTGCATACATGCCGGTGCATTTGATTTATAGCTTGAGTGGTTTGAATCAAGATTCAAAATGGTTTGAATTGCTTTTGGAAATAAATTAAAAATGGATTTGAAGTAAAAGAAAAGAAAGAAAAAGAGAATTGGAAAATAAAAGAGTTTAAAAGGATTGTAAAATTTATTTTTGGGAAGCCTACCAAAATTGCTCATTTTTATTTGAATTGAAAAGTATATTGGAGACTATATTTGAATTTGATTTGGATGATATTTGAATTTGGATTGAAAAAGAGAAATAGGAAAATGGAAAACACTCCCTCTCTCAGTCTGGCCCGAAGGTTAGCTCCATCTCTCCTCTCTCTCGGTCCGGCCCACCCCGTGCTCTCTCTCTCTCAGCCCAGCCATGACTCAACTCACACGGCCCATCTCCTTCTCTCTCCCACGGCACATCCCGCATGCCGGCCCATTCCAGCAGGCGGCCTAGCACTGCGTCGCCCACGCATTTCCCTTCTCCTCTCTCTCTGCCAGACCGACCCCATGCGTTACCGTGACTTCGTATTCCTCATGACGTAGCCACCCAATACTCCATTGCCGCTGTTGGAGTCCGATCCACCCACGCCTCATTGCCTTGCCATGCCTCCCAAGCCACCTGCTCTCTTAAATAGCAGCCGCCGACCGAGCCGCCTCTCCCTATCCCATTTTGAGCCACAGCCGCCTCGCCGAGACACCACGCCACGCAAACCCTAGCACCGCCACCATCACCGCCTGCTTTGCCATGCATCGCTCTGCATCACGGTAAGCTACCTAGCCATGATCTCCGTTCCCTCCTCTACCTCTCGGTGTTTTTCTCACTTCGAACCGAGGCTATTAGGCTGTTTTCTATGTGCACCGCTTGTCGCTGGCCATGGCGCCGCCGCCAGGCTCGCCACCAGCCACATTGGTCGTTTCCCTTCCCCTCTCATCTGATCTGCACCGTCCAAATTAGATCCAACGGTCCAAGATCACCGATACCCCTTCGCCTTACCTTTTTGCCAAAACCCCCCTCGGATTTTTAATATAGAACCCGCCGTCCCTGCAGTTTTGCTAAAGACCCCCTGCCTTTCCATGGAATTGAACCCACAGTCCTTGGCGGTTTAAAATTGGATTTTATTTATTTTAAATTCGAAAATCAAAGTTCCATCTATTTACAAAATTGCCACTATCTTCATTAAGCCATATCTTCTCCGTTTTAACTCCAATTTGACCCGTTCAAGTTGTGTTAGGTTCGTAACGATGTAATCTACGTGTTAGTAACATTTTTAGCATGTTTAGAGCTTTTGAATAACATAGTAATTTGATTAATCTATATGAAGCTACTTTTTCAATTAAAAGCAACTTAGGCTTTTTACTGCTGTCTTTTGTAAATAAAATAAGATTAAATCTTATATTTGTTTTCTAATACAAATATAATTTGGCTTCAAACAATTTAGATATTTCTCTGAAGTATCTTATATATGTTTTATAATTAAAATAAATAAAGCCTATAGTTTCTTTTCAAAGCAAATCTATCGGTAGATGTATCTTTCTCACTGTAGCTCCGATTTGAGTGTTTTTCTCGTCTTCGTGTTCGTAGTAACGTGTAGAACATCTTTAAAACCTTTTTACTTACTGTTTCATATGTTGGTGTACTGTTCTAATTTAGTTATATCATTTGCTTCATGTATGATTGCATGGATGCTCGTGTGGTGTTCTATGATCATGTCCAGTCGGTGAGTTTTACGTGGTGATCAAGAAGCAGTCCTTTGGAGGCTATGAGTCAATAGAAGAAGGATCAGAGTTTAAGGCAAGTATAACATGGGATCATCCTTGTTTCCTATCAACTTTAATACATTTAATTCATATTGCATGTGTCACCTTGATAGGGATTCCCTAGAATTGAACTTATACCTTGTCTCCTATGGGATATGCATTGGGTAGCTTTACTAGTGCTCAATCAAACCATGATCTTATAACTTGACTAATGGTATATGCAATAAACATTAAAATATGATTTTGTAGAAACTTGGAAATAGGGGGCTAGAGTGTTTAGCTACTTTCTAAATGCTTCAGATTCCTCTCCCTAAGGACTTATCTGTAAGTGATCATCCGGGACTTATAGTACAGCTGTGAGGGCTATATGGCTATGGCTTTAGCTCAGTATGATGACCTTTTCTAGCTTGTTAGTGGTTACCTTTATTGGCATAAGAATGGCTTGACGAATCGGGTATAGGACAACCTCTACTCTTATGTGTATAGCCATAATGGAATTGTGCCATTCGACAGGGGGTTCTAATATCTGTTTGTCGAGTAAATCTAATGGCCCTAACTTGTTAGACGAACCTTTGAAAGGCTTCATAGTGAACCCTGCCTGCTCACCTTGGTAGTGTTTTGGGAGTAATTAACCCAGGCATGGGCATCATGACTCACAGTGAAAGTGTACAACATCTGCAGAGTGTAAAACTAGTATATCAGCCGTGCTCAGGGTCACGAGCGGCCTTGGAACATTTACAAAATAGATGATCACTAAGAATTATCCATTTATGCTATTCATTAGTCATGCTTACATTGATCATGTGTTTTACTATGGTATTAAAACAACTTGTTGCTACTGTTATGCTAAAATTGTGACAATTAAAAGCTGAATGTTGTTAAAGCTGTGTCAAGCCTTTTGAGCCTCATGAACCCCATGATATATTTGTTGAGTACGACATGTACTTATGCTTGTTTTATTTTTTTCAATTATTTGGATAAAAATCCCGGATGGGTACCAGATTGCTAGAGTTTGGAGGAATTAGGCTTGTAATCAACCAGTCAGTTCTCCCTGTGGATTGGAGTCTTCACCCGAAGATCAGAGTTGTCTTTCCACTATTTGTTGTTTAAGGTTATATCCTTTATACAAAGTACATTATATATTGAGCATTGTCTTTCGATATTACCCTTATTTGTTGCTATATGTGAGATTTGACTTCCTAGGCTCACATATGGTGTGTATCTGGTTTTGTTCTTAAAACTGGGTGCTACAAAGTGGTATCAAAGCAATGCTAACTGTAGGATGTAAGCCTAGATAGAACTGGATAGTTTAGCATGCTTTCATATTTTCTTAGTTATGCTCACTTCGGCCTCTGTTCTGTTATGAAAACCTTGTCTCTATTCAGAATCCTCTCTCTTCATCTAAATAGATGGGTCGTAATGAGGAGACCACCAACATCAGAGGTCAAGAGGACCAAGCTACGTTGTCCTTGACTGCATTCGACAAAGAGAAGCTTGTAGCTATGCAACAACAAGTACTAGAAGGAATGACTCAACATGGGAGTTCTCAACAGTGCTTGCCATAAGGTCAAACCAACATACCAAAGGGACCAATGAAGAGACAAGTGGCAGAAGCTTGGAAGAAAATGAAGTCCAATGAAGGTGCTAGTAGTAATACGCTCAGAAGTCAGTATTAATGTCAATGCTACAAGCATTATGGTTTTCCCTGTCTTCAAAACAAGTCTAATAAGAGGGAAGTCAAAGTGAACTCGAGTGGTGAAACTAATGTGGATAAGAAGAGGAAGGCGGTCTCACCAGAGCTAGAATTGGGAAGCAATCAACATTCGAGTTCTACTACATTGTCACATCCAGCTCCAATCCCTAGTCAGATAAACTCAAACTCTAAAGAGTCAAAAGTTTCTCAAGCTAAGATTACTCCACTCTTTCCACATGAGGTATGCATAGATGGGTGGATGATCACCTATAAGGAGTTTCAACCCTGAAGGATCAAGCGAGCTAGAAAGCGGTCCAGTCAAACAAAGATGAACCTTTAGAGTCGGCAAGCTGACAACACACCAAGCAACAATTCAGTGATGTATGACATCATTAAAGATCCAGCTAAGAGAAAGTGTTATCATTCTTAATAGGAAGGACATTATGTTAAATTTTGCCCATGGAAGAATCAACAAATACACCATGGAAGTGGCCAGAGTTAGATCACTATAGGGTTGCCACCAGTAAGAGTTAGTGATGCCCAACCTAAAAGAAGCATTTGGTGAGGTTAACGAATGAAGAAGTCATGCTAGACTACCCAAGATCAAGAAAGTTTAAGATGTGTTGCCCTCACTGTCATGCAAGGGATGCTACCCTAGATGCCCTCGCAGCCACACCTTAGTTAAGGAATAGGAGTTTGTGCCCTTTATGTAATAAAAACGATAGTATCATAAGTTGAGTCAATGGTTGAGTTGTGCACCTTTATTGCTTTGTTGAATTGTCATTATGCTTATGATTGTTTTGTATCTTTGTAATGACTGTAATGATTTTGTTGGGTGTTCCTACAATTTCATTTAGCTTATAGGCCTAAGGTATAAGGATTAATAAAAAAATAGTTGGGTAATGGTTTTCTTCTGTTTTCCCTATCCTGCCTTTCGGAGTAGTCTGCCCTCTTTGTCTTATGTCTCTGATTTTGGATGATCAGAAATCATGAGAAAATTCTGGACAGTAGTAGACTTCAATATCTTTCTCGGACCACAAGAATCACCTGGTAGCTATTTTGGTTACGGAGTGATGAAAATCACAAGACGATGCACCTATGCTGTCTAAAATCTAGAGTA